CACTCTCACTCACTCTCACTCACTCTCACTCACTCTCACTCACTCTCTCACTCACTCACTCTCTCACTCTCCCACTCTCTCACTCACACTCTCACGCTCTCACACTCTCACAGGCCATCCTTCTTCGAGTTGATGCAGATACCGCGCAGGTGATTCGGATCCGATCGGAGGGCGACGCCGCGACGCACTGTGGAAGCGGAGGGCGACGCCTGTCGTTGGTGCGCGAGGATTGTTGCGAGCACGGCATCAGATTCTGCCCAGTGATGTGCGAAGCTTCTCACGCAGACAACTACTTCAGCCATGCGCGAGCTGTTTGGTGTTAGTTCTCTGAAGCTCTCTGAAGGGTATTGTTTTGCAGACATCAGACACCATCCTCAAAGGCCACTAGGTAGAGCCCTGCTGATCCCTGAGCACTTCAGTACAAGGAATTCGGTATAAAGGTCTGGCAGCGGCCAAGAAAGAACCTGGACCACGACGATCGGGAAGGCATACTTGTAGAAGGTGGGATAGATGAAAAGTTTCGAGCAACCTTTTGTGTCCCGTATCTACGCCTCACTTGCAATGCCCGGTGACAAAGTGAGGCAGATCCTCTTGAAATAGAAACTTTTCAGCTCCTTCCAAAATCTTGCAGCAACTTGCAGCAATGAAAACTTGTACCCACAAGTACCAGCTTCCACCCAAACCAGAGAGATCATCCATCACAGCGACAAGAGTGCGTCAAAGCATACAATGATCAAGTTTAAATGGTGCTTTGAAATTTGTTGCCTAGCCACCCGGACCCTTTGTCGGCACTTTGTTGGCATGGGAAAAACACGTTGCGCAGCAGACAGTGCCCCGCAGGACAGCCGTGGTGATGGATGACAATGCTGCGTTTCTCTCACTTACCGCAACAAGTCATTCCCGGTTCTTTTGGATGCCGCAGAGTTATTGTCTCCTTTGATGCTCAACACCACATTGTATTTCCGATGTGCGTGCGTATGTATATATAGGCATGTGGCATATGTATATAAGCATACAAAAGAACGACTTAGTGTCGCAACAAAATGGACATCCCGTTCAGGCAGTACAGTTCGGCCTGATTTTGGGGCCTACATTGCAACCATTGAGGGTCCCGGCAAGTAGTTGAATTCTCATTGGGCATTTTCAGAATTCCCCTTGTGTCTTTGTTCACATCGCCTGAACGCAAGGCACCGGTGCCCCCATCGCAACCTCCAGCGTTTCCACCGCAGCCGAAGCCAAGCCGGGGCGACCTAGAAAAAGAGATCAGCGGGGATTGATCGTCGTAAAGTAAGCTTTTCAGTTTGTCTCAGAGAGAAACTGCTCAGGCCCTCCTGGTCAGGATGAGCCGAGGCAGATCTTACAGCGCAGTGCAGGGCACACCCTGTTGCGCAGCTGGTTTGGTTAAAAATACGTGAATGTTGGGTTTGGCTTTGGTGAATAAGATGAATAAGACAGCGCATGTTGGGTTTGGTGAAGCCAAGCCAGCTTTGGTGAAGAGATCGCGCAAATCGGATTCGGAGGGACCAGGACTGGTGATCGGAGTGTGGCAATATTTGGCAATGGTGCATCGAAAGCACATCGCCTTGCTTAATACCCAGCCCCAGGGTGATTGAACGACTCTGCGAACATCTTCCAAAATCGAAGGGACTGTTTATATAGACGGTCTTGGAGCGAATACAATAAGGAACTATTCCCACCGTCCAGACCCAGGACTTTGGGACCAGGAACAGCTGCTTGGACCTGCTTTCCGTCGATCCGTGACCGACATGACCGACGTCCCACCCGCGGTCAGCCCCAGGCCAAGAAGACCCCTGAGGCGCGGACCATCGGCGGGGTGGAACCCCGGTGGTTTTTGGAACGCCGATACAAAGTGCGCACCGGTGGGGGAAGTCACATGTAGAAGTCTTGATATTTCAACTTCTTCAGACATGGGGGATCAAAATTGGCTAATCAAGAGTTTATTCGTTCTCGCCCACATTTGAAGTGGGGGGTAAGCACCCTTTTCTTCCATGGGTTTCCCTTGTCCCTTCTCATTCTCCAAAGCTTTTGGGGAACGTATGTCCCCACTATATACACGTGTTTGTCCAAATCGATGCCAGTTCATCAGCACTGCTTTGACTGGGCTGATTCATCAACCAGTTCCTCGGAAAAGGAGCTGTTCGTGGGTTGCAGGGAACTTCGCGAGATGCGAAGACAGCGGGTGGAACATTCGTCATCAGATCCTCCATCACCAGAACAATTCTTGAACGTTCTTCATCCGTGGGTTGGACAATTCTTCGTGACCCAGACACTCCATCTGACTGGAATATACGCATAGATGGCATAGATATACAAATATATATATATACACACAGTATATACATAATACTAACCATCCTCCTGAAGTTATGAATCATATGTGCAAGAACGTTTGGTTTGCAGCAAGTTTCAGGTGGCTGGCTTATCCCTGTTGAAGAGCAGAGCGAGGTGCAAAGTGGTTCATTTTCAAGTGAGCAATAGGCAAAACCTCCCTTGACGTTCCATTAAGCATCTATGTCATATCAATTTGTGGCGTAAGAAAACATTGTGTTGCGTAAGGTTGCGTAAGCTCCATGTTGAACAACACGTGTTGTGTAAGGTTTGCGTAAGTACTGTTCTTTACAAGAACAAGAAGAACAAAATGTGTTGCATCCTTTGGGGGAACCTTTCGGAATCATACTTGTGTCATGGCGTAAGCTTTGCGTAAGACTTTTGTTAACCAAGTCCTCGCGTAAGCTAAAACTGTGGTTGCGTAAGCAACGCGCAAGCAGCGTAAGAACTTGATACGACATAGAGGTTTAATCATACGTATTGGCCGAAGCTCAAGTGGCGAAGAGCTTCATTTCTTTTAGATTTTGCCCTTGCAGCAAGCACTTTTTTCCCCAAACAGTGTACTGTTAGGGGTTCTCAATTCTGGCAAGGAAATGATCCTGGGCCAAGATGCTTTTCAGTTGGTTGTCTCCCTTTGTCTCCCATGGCCTGTCTGGATGCTGGGCCGAGAT